ATATATATATATATATATATATATATATATATATATATATATATATATATATATATATATATATATACACATATACATACATCTCCATACGTACATGTAAATGACACATGCATACCTACACAGACATAATCCACATTTCCACCCTCGTGTATCAGCATTCAGAGTACCCCCCCTGGATCTGAATCCATCCTGACTTTAGGAATCAGTTTGTTAATTAATGATTGTATCTAATCTATCCACAAATATTTCCTCCAACATTTCGGAAAACTGTGAAAGTAGAGAAACAGGCCTATAATTTGTGAAATGGTGTCTGTCCCCAGATTTATAAAGTCGAATAAATTTTGGCAATTTTCATCTTTTCTGGAAATTTACCCAAATGAAATGACAGATTGCAGATTTAGGTCAGAGACTGAATAATTCCCTCAATTACCTTCCTAATTACTGTCACATCAATGCCATCACAGTCGGTGGACCTCTTGTTTTTACATTTAATGAGCATATCTATAATGTCTCTTTCTGTCACCGCGGTGAGAAACATCCAATAAGGATTTCTGCTGATTAATGTTTCATTCAGAGCTCCAGTTGTTGTAGGATCCAGGATTTTTTTAAGCCAGTGAGGGGTCATTGATCATCCTCATCCTCCAATCCCTTTGGACAAGAAAACGTTTTAATTGGTGTAATGACGTCAGCGGTCTCATAAAAAGTGATGCCAACATCTACAGGGCTTATCCTGCCTCTACCTGAGCTCCTGTTGAAGCTGTTGGTCCAATAAGAATGGAGAAGTGAGTTAACCAATCAGAGAACAGGAGAGCTTACGCACATCCAATCACAGCTCACTTCCTGTATCAGGACAGTTTCCAAAGATGGCCGCCGCTGTGGCAGTGAAGGAGAAAAGTCCATCAGAGAACAGAAGATAGGATCCTCAGAGCTCTAACATCAGGTCAGTCTGCCATGATTAACCTGCTGCCGGCTGCAATTCACCATCCAGTTACGCTAATGACGTAGAAGCAGATGGTAGGAGGGCGACGCCGTCTGCGGCTCCGGTTCTCACCCAGAACCTTCAGCCCAGACTGACCCACTTCTAGCAGAACCAGCACCTCGGTTCGGTTTCTAACGGAACCATGACCCAATATCTGCTGCTGCGGACCGAACCGCTTTAGGGACGTTTTTAAACATTAAACCTGGAAGCTGCGGGTCCAGAACTTTGGACCCTTTCTGCTAAAACCTCAACCATTCCTGCCATAATTTAACCAGGAGGTCCAGCCATCATCATCATCATCACCACCACCACCACCACCACCTCTGACAACATAAACATCGTTTCTGTTCTAGTTTCCTTCAAACTAAACATGGCGGATATTTAAACCTGCTTCTATAAACCATGAAGAGCTACAATCAGATCAGACTAAAGAAACTGAGTTTGATGTTTCAGATCAAAGCTAAACGACAACGACGATGAGGATGATGATGATGATGGTGATGCTGGTGAACTTGGTAGGAGTTTCTATGTGGAGGATCAGATGAACTTTGACCTTCTCTCTGCTGGTCCCTGCAGGTCGCTGAGCTTCTACAGGACCATCATCCCAGCCTCCGCCTGTCTTAGCCCCGCCTTCCTGCTCCTCCTATGCCGCTTGATGGGTGGGCTCCGACAGCAGTGACCTGGAAGGGATCCAGAAGAACAGCCTCCAGGGTGGAGCGTCCCCATCTGGACCTTCTGTGGCCGTTCTGAAGGCCCCTTGCCGATAGTTGATGACGGCCTGAGCAGCAGAGCATGTGGAGAGGGCAGGTCTGGCAGCATGGCCATGCAGGAAAAGAAGCAGGTGGGTTTGCTGCTTGGATCAGAACCAGGCTGGTTACTGTTAACATGTTCATGGGGTGGCCTCAGCCTCAGGGACATGTCCCCTGCACTTTTACTGTCCAAAAACGATGTTACGCTGCAGTACATTGACACTCGTCGAGCACTAGAACCAAGCGGGAAACCAAGCTCAGGCTAAAGCCATCTTCCCTGAGATTAGACCCGCCCACAATCTCCTGATTGGCCCTCTGTGTTTTCTTGTTTGATTAGTTGTCACTGCGGAGTCACTGTTACAAACATCTGATGCGCCACTGAAGCAGGTCTGTGATTGGACGATCACAGCGCTGCTGAAGTCCTACACACTACCGTAATTACAACTATAGGGTGACAAGACCGTTTCTTTGCTTTCTGGTATGTTTTTGATTTTTGAGATGACTTAAACGGTGCAGGAGGTACAGTCTTCATAGAACTGAGTAACATTCGTCCTAAAACACCATTCACTGGATCCATAGAGCAGCAGATCCACTTCTAGATCCTCCACCGCTTAAAAAGCTCTAAGTTACCCGTTAAAGTATATTTGTTTCATTAAAAGTTCTGATCAATCAAATGTATTATTGTTATATATTATTATTATAATCAAAAAAGTAAAAAAATCTAATCTATGAATGTGATTTTTATATATCCAAACTTATAATAACTGTAAATTTTTCTTTTTTTATCTACATAGATTGTTCAGTTATTCCTGTCATGCATCCAAACATTTAGTCAGGATGCAGAGATGCAGGAGAAACTTGAGGAAACAAAG